TTTTTTGCCGGCTGCTGCCACCAAGACAGAAGTGGCAGATCCCCTAGGCCCTGCTCGGCTGAGCTGGCTGGGTTGCCACTTTTCCGGTATCATTGTTATGTTTGAGGAATTTAATGATTTCCTCTTTTATCTCTTCCTGAACCCAACTATCATTGAGTATAAGGTTGTTTAATTTCCAAGTCTTTGTGTGGGGATGAATGTTTTTGTTGGAGTTGAGTTCAACCTTTAGTTCCTTCTGGTCTGAGAAGATAAAAGGTATAATTTCTATTATTTTAATTTTGCTGAGATTTGATTTGTATCGTGGGATGTGGTTGATTTTGGAGTAGGTATCATGGATTGAGGAGAAAATTGTATATTCTTTTGCTTTGGGATGGTGTGTTCTGTATATGTTAATAATCTTGTTTGTTCTAGGGTCACATTTAAGTCATTTGTATCTTTGTTTAGTTTCTGTTTAGAGGATCTGTCCAGTTCTGTCAGAGTGGCATTAAAATCCCCTGTTATGATGGTGTTATGGGATGTCATATTGCTCAGACCCATCAAGGTCTGTTTGATAAATCCAGGAGCCTTTAATTTGGATGCACAAATATTTAAAATTGAGATGTCTTCTTGTTGTATTGTTTCTTTAATCAGTATAAAGTGTCCATCTTTGTCTTTTGTATTGAATCTGAAAATAAGATTGCAACTCCTCCTTTCTTCTGATTTCCATTTGCTTGAAATACGGTTTTCATCCCTTAACCCTTTGTCTTGATTTCTCCTTCAAGGCTAGATGTGTCTCTTGGAGACAGTATATGGATGGCTTGTGTTTTTTATATTCAATCAGCCAGCCTGTGACTCTTCAGTGGTGAATTCAGTCCACTGACATTTATTGAGAGAACTGGTAAGTGTGGTGGAGTTCTATTCATCTCATTTTATGAAAGTTGGTTGCGTAGTTTTATCCTTTGCACTATTGTGGGAGCTAAGTTTTGACCTTTAGCTTCTGGGTGTTTACTTTGCTGGTGGTCCATTGTGATGGTCAGTGTCGAAAACAGGTCTAAGTAGTTCCTGTAGAGCTGGTCTTTTTGTGGTGAATTTTCTCAGTGCTTGTATATCTGCAAAAGATTTGGTTTCTCTATCAGTTCCGTATCCTTAGTTTAGCAGGACACAGAACTCAGGGCTGAAAATTGTTTTGTTTAAGAATATGGAAGGTGGATGACTATTCTCTTCTGGCTCGGAAAGTTTCACTTGAAAAGTCTGCTGTCAGGTGATGCCTGTGACTCAGGGGCCAGGACACTGGCCCCATATACTGAGGGTGGCAGGTTCAAACACGGCCCCAGCCAGCTAAAACAGCAGTGGCAACTGCAACAAAAAATAGCCAGGTGTTGTGGTGGGCACTTGTAGTCCCAGCTGAGGCAAGAGAACCACTTAAGCCCAAGAGTTGGAGGTTGCTGTGAGCTGTGATGCCACAGCACTCTACCAGGGTGACAGAGTGAGACTCTGTCTAAAAAAAAAAAAAAAAAAAAAGAAAAGAAAAGAAAAAGAAAAAGAAAAAAGAAAAGCCTGCTGTCATCCTAATGGCTCTGCCTGTGTAGGTCAGTTGATGCTTACTCCTGGCTGCTTGCAGAATTTTTTCTTTCATCTTGACTTTGAACAGATTCATTACGATGTGTCTTGTTTGAGTTGAGATGACCTGGGGGTTCCATATCCATCTGAAAAGACTGTGTTGGGGTCTTTAGTAAAACTTGGGAAGTTTTCATTTATGATAGTCTCCAGTAGGGCTTCCATTTCTTTGGGACACTATTCTTCTCTTTCAGTAATCCCCATTATTTGTATGTTTGAATGCTTCATGGAGTTTCATAGTTCTCTAAGCATCTGTTCTGCCTTCTCTCTCTTCTGCCTCTTTAATTACCTGGGTTAACTAAAAAACTTTATCCTCTAGCTCTGAGGTTCTTTCTTCTCTGTGGTCTAACCTATTTTTGATGCTTTCTACTGCATCTTTACCGTCCCTGATTTTCTCCTTCATTTCCTTAAACTCCGCCATATCCTACATAACTTTCTTCTGACTTTTGATTCTGTCTTTCCATTTTCTTGTCCATTCCTTTTATTGTCATTATCATCCCTATTTTAAATTCTCTTTCTGTCAAATCCACTAATTCTTTATAGGTAGAGTCTTCTGCTGTAGCTGCCTCGTGGTCTCTTGGGGGAGTTACTCTAATTTACTCTTTCATATTGCCTGAATTTTTCTGTTGGTTCTTCCTCATGTGTTATTTCTTCTTGTTCACATTTTTAATCCTCCTTTTTCCTTCTCACTGCCTCCTTCACTTCAAATTACTTTGTCTCAGAGCTTAGGTCTTAAAGTGGCCTCAGCCTGAGCAAAGCCAAACTCTTCCTTGTGGCCAAGAAAACAGCTGTCCTTGTTCTTTTTGACAATATGTTGCAATATATCTCCCAGACACCCAGTGGCACTATAGGTTTTTAGGAGATGGAGAACACAGCCAGCAACTTCTATGGTCTTTATTCCTAACTTAGTTACCTTCAGTGATTGCCTGATTGTTTCCTTAACATTTAGACCCTGCCAGGTTAGGATCTTAAAGCTCACAAGAATCCTTCAGGGGGAGGTCTCATAGTGCCCCCTGACTCCAGTTCCTGTGGGGTATGGGAGTCCTTCAGCCTGTCCCAAGAGTGCAGTTCTGTTCCTGACAGGTGGAATTAAGGCAGTGGTGCATTAGGCCCCTGCTAAGACCATCTCATGACCTTCCCACAATGCCAGCTCCCTGGCTACTGAGACCTCAATATGGCTGTCTTGCCAGCCACCAAACCTATGCAAATCCACTCCAACCAGCATTCAAATATGGTTGTGGTATACTATTAAAGTCCATCCACTCTTCCAAGCTTTCCACTCAATGCGCAGCTTCCCCCAACAATTGAAAACTCTGGAAAGGCTTCCTTTTGTCCTGGACCTCCATGGAGAGCCAGTCTATCCTGGTGAGTTACAGTCACCTGTGCTCTCTGAGCTATAACTCTGGGTAAGGTCCCCAATGCAAGGTGTGGCTGGGTTCTAGGAGAGAATAGTCGTTCTTTCCTAGAACCTAGTTATTTCCCCAGTCATTCTAGGAGAGCTCAGCTAAATGATCCTTCTGGTCTGGCATCTTGCTCTGCCCTCGATGCCAATTTTTTTCTGTTTTATTATTTTTATTGCCTCCCAGAGAACTTTTCT